GCCCCAAGGCGGGCGCGGCACCGACTCGCAAGCTCGCGCTACGCTGCGGCCCGCGATTCTGAGGCGCAGGCTGGGGGCGAGAGGACAGCCGCAGACCGTACCGCCACAATGGCCTCACCGACGTACAGAACCCTTGGTGGCGACCGCCCAAGCACCACGACGCCGGCGCCCTGACAGGACCATAACAGTGACAGCGCCGCGTTGATTGGCTCTTTGTAATGTGCTCTCCCATTGGTTCCTGGAGAAAGGTTCTGATTGGATCTTCCTGTTGTTGATTCCGGAAGTTCTCCGAAGACCGGAAGTTCACTGTAGCGTCCCTCTTGGTCCCTTCAAGCTGTTTTTGTTCCCTTTAGATCCCGTCCTTTCCACCTTTTCTTCTTTATACTTTTCCTCCGTTTCTGAAAACTGGGTGGATGAAAGAATTTTAGAACTAGGTATGTTTCTAGAGTTCAGCCTTTCTTCTTGGATCCCAAGTTTCATAGTTACCAATTGTAGAGATATTTGACTAAGTTATATATCGCCCCAGAGCCTGTTTCCTCACCTATAAGACGAAGGGGCCTGATTGGACAATAATAAGAAAGAAAGAAAGTAAACCTTAAATGGCTACCCAGAGACTAGAGCTGTAGCCTAGACACGTTCCCTTATGACGAAGGTAACTAAGGGCATCAAGACTAAAGTAGTGTTAGGAGTGTGGTGGCCCACGCCTGTAACCTCAACAACTCTGGGAAGCTGAGGCAAGAATCTCGCAGGCTCCAGACCAGCCTGGGCAATTTAGAGACTTAGACCTGTCTTAGAATAAAAAATAACAAAGGGCCTGAGGATGTATCTCAGTGGTTGGGTCCTGCCTTCAACCTCCCCCCCCACCCCGCCCCGCACGGGAGAGAGTCCGAAGATACTTTAGTAATTCTAGCTAAATGTTCTTTTCAAAAGTCCCTCTGTTTAGATAAACTTGCCAGTGTTTTCAAGCTCACATACCTTTTTAAATGTTCAAGTAAATCTAAATTTGATATACAAGCCACATAAAAGTGGCTTCCAATTTGAAGAGAGAAAATTTTTGGATATATTATGAAATATACTTGGAGAAAAAGAAACAGTGGGCCTGAAATAGAGCAATGGAAAGGCACGTGTTCAACAGAATTCCAAGAATTGTTTTTTTTCCACAAGAGAAAATTAGTACATAAAAGGTGAAAATTTTGTACACAAAGAGAAATGGAGAGGGAGTGGTAGCAGCCCAAATCATCATCTTCCAGAGATAATTACAGGCTAATTTTTGTTTGTTTTGCGGGGGCGGGGACTGAACTCAGGACCTTGTGTTTGCCATGCAGGCACTGCGCCACTGAGCTACATCCCCAGCCCTTATAATCTTCCAGATATAATTTACTGAACTTGGACTCATTCAGCTTTCCTGGAGTTTAGCTTTTATGGGAAAAAATGGCAGCAGGTGGGGTTGTACAGATAGATTATGAAATTATTTTTATGCTATTCTAAGGAGTTCTGTTTTTTTTTAACTCCCTTAACTCCCTTCTGGAAACAATGGGAGAAACTGTTAAAGCATTTAGAGCAAGGGGATGCTCTCTTAAAGTATCCACACTGGGGATACTTTGACTTTAAGAGTACAGACTTACTTATATGAAGACTTGCAGATATGTAAGTAATTCTTCGACTAGGGTAACAGCTCTGGAAATGAGAAAGAAGAAACTGATACAAGATGTTAAGGTTAAGAATCTACAGGACTTTCTTAATCATTCTGCTTGTTTCTAGGACACATTACTTGACACAACTCTGAAAGGAGGAGAGTTTTATTTTGGCTCACATTTTCAGTCCACAGTCAGCTGGCTCTAAAGCAGAAATGATACAGTAGAAGGTTCTAGTGGAGGAAAGTCACTCGTCACAGCGGCCAGGAAGCAGAGAAAAAGGGAGAATTCAGCACAGGAGATACAACCTACAAGGCCATGCCCCCAGTGATTCATTTCCAGCGAGGCCCCACCTCTGCATAGGAAGTCAGCCCCCTTCAGGACATGAGACTTTAGGGAGTTATTCTTGATCTTAATTATAATATTGCACCCTGGCCCCAAAAAGAATCGTTCACATTTTTGGGGGGAGGGGGAGTACCGGGGATCAAACTCAGGTCCTTGTGCTTGCGAGGCAGGCACCGCACTACTGAGTTAAATCCCCAGCCCCTCATTCACATTTCTTTATGCAAGATGCATTTAGTTCATCCTTAAGTGTTGTCAGTGTTTTAACAATTTCAGCATTGCTGAAAAGTCCAAAGTTTCCTGTGACACCCCAGGCAAACGCTTAGCTGTGAACCCCTGTAAAAATAAATAAGAAAGCTAATCCTTTCTAACATACAATGGCACAGGGTAAACATTCCCATTCCAAAAAAGAATAGGATAATAGGAAAAAAATCCAGACTAAAGCAAGATCAAAACACAGCACAGCAAACACTAAATCGTGTAGCTCCCTTGCCTGTGCCCAGGAGAAGTTGTAGTGAGAGATGAAGTCCAAAAGGCCTTTCCCCTAAGTCACTGCTAGTTGCAGCCTTCATGGTCTCTTTTTTGGGTGGGCTTTGTTCACTACCTGTGGCTTTCCTCAGATGTTCAATGTTCTTGGCACCTGCAACTTCCTGGGGTCTCCACTGCACTTTTGGCTTCACTCTCACAGCTTAATGTTCTGCCATCTCATGGGGACACTTCCTGGGCTTCAGGGATTTTTCTAAAATGTGGGTGGAAGCCTCCCTGGCTCCACAACTCATGCATTTTGCATGCCCATAAAACCTCCACTATGTAAATGATACAAAGGTCTGCTGACAGTTTGACAGTATCGAGGCCCCCTTGGATCATTACTGCAGAAGCCTCCGAGTGCCTGAATAGCTGAGCATGGGGAACTGAATCCTGGGGAACAATTTCCCTAAATGGCCCTTCACTAGCAGGCGCCCTGGAGTTCTCTTCTCAAAGCAGTCTTTCAAAGGAGTTTGTCTTTACTCTTTTACACCCTTGACTTAGTAAATGGTAGAGTCTTGCTGATTCCTGAAAAGCCCTCAAAGCAACTTTCCTGTTGCTCTGAAGCAAACTAATTTGCTTCTTCCTAATGCTAATCTTTTCAGCAACCATGTTCACTTTTGCTCCAATTTTGCAGACCCTTCTTTCTAGTGAAACTCCAAATTTTTAAATCGGTTTTTTGCCAGAGGTGGTAGTGCACACCTGTAATCCCAGCACTTGGGAGGCTGAGGCAGGAGGATTAGCATAAGTATGAAGTAGCCTAAGCTACATAGTGAAACCTTGTCTCCAAAAAATGGGCTTTTTGCTCCTAATTTATAGTATGAAGCCTGCTAAAAGCCACCAATAGTATCCATAAAACAACCTGAACATTGATTAGGTGGCCTTGAAATTTAGTCCACTATATTAATTAGTCTGCTCAACTTAGTCTCCCACAAAATATCAGGAAATGAGCAAAATGTACACATTTTTGCCAGAGCATAAAACACATCACCTCTGGTACAATTGCTAATGAGTCCTTCTTCCCAACTGAAACCTCACAAGCCTGGTCTTTACCATCTTACATTTTCAGTCCATTGTTGGCTGGCTTCAAGGCAGAAACAGTATGGTAGAGCAGTCCAGCAAAAGATGCTTTGTATGTCATGGCGGTCAGGAAGCAGAGAGAGAAGGGACAAACTGGAAATGGAGACATATCATTCTAGGCCATGCCCCCAGTGACCCAGCTCCAACCAGGTCCCACTTCCTAACAGCACGTCAACCTGTGAGAGCATGAGAGCTGATGGGGGTCGTTCTTCTTCTAAATCGTGTCAAAGACTTAATCATAAATTACAAGAGATTATGTTTGGTGAACAGGAAGGACAGTAGGATGACTTTAGGTTTCTTGTAGTACGTAGTGCATGGTTGATAATTACATCTCTGAATATGAGTGACATTACCCACAGAGTATGCTGAGTGGGAGAATAGTACCAAGAATAACTTTGAGTAACACCAACTTTTAAACAGCAGTCTAAGGAATTGGCTGGCAACGAAACAGGATGAGTTGCAACTTTAATTAGTCTGGAAAGACTATTATTTTGAAAAAAAATAAATTTTTTCTTGTGTAAGAGCCTTTAAAACATTATTTTAAAATCAGTTTTAGGGGCCAGGGATTTAACTCAGTGGTTCCGCCACCTGCTTTGCAAGCACAAGGACCTGACTTCAATCCCCGGTACCTAAATAAATAAATAAAAATAAATTCAGTTATATGCATTGTGGTCACTAGTGTATTTATTCCTTTAATCTTATGTTTGATTTCTCTTTTTTTTACCTTCAAATTTAATTTTGTGCCAAGCACCAGTACACATCCTTATAATCCATGCACTCGGGAGGCAGGAGGATCACCATTAGTTTGAGGCCAGCCTTGGCTATACAGTGAGTTCAGTGCCAGCCTGAACAGCATAGTGAGACCTGTCTCAAAATATGAAAAAAAATTTGTTTTCTTTATGTGGATTATTTTCTCTTATATTATTTTTTCCTTTTCCTAGCTTAGAAATTGTATCATCTGTTTCTATTTTCTTTTGTTTTTTGTTGCTTCTTCTGGTACTGGGGATTGAACTCAAGACATTGTGCTTGTGAGGCAGGCACAGTGTCACTGAACTGAATTCCTGACCCTCTATTTCTATTTTCTTATCAGTTATATATAATGAACTTTTAACATGTATATTTAACTTATCACAGTCTACAGTTAATAAGTATCAATATGCTTACCCATAACAGGCATGAGGGCAAATGCATATAATCCTAGGACTCTTGAATGTTGAAGTAAGAGGATCAAAAATTTGTGCCCAGCCTGGGCAACTACTTAGTGACTTGGGAGATGCTGACTCAATAAATTTTGAAACGTTTTAGGGACATAGCTGAGTGAGAAGGCCCACTGGATTGATCCCCAGTACCACGAACACACACACACGTACACACACTTACGTCTTACCTGGTCCTATACAATGTAGGAAATCTTGAACACTGACTTAGAACATACTGTTATTCTACATTTTAGATCTGGCTCATACTCCTTTCTTTTTCCGTTGTATTTTATTTTATCAGTCTACGCAGTTTACCATGATCTTGGGGGTGATAACATGTACATATTACAGCCTGGCTTCTTTTAATCCCCTTCCTTTTCCCTCCCCCTCCCCTTCTGGCTCCCCAGTGACCTTTTTCATACTTGTGGATACTGTTTGTTTTAACACAAGTT